AGTGAAATCTAAGAGTCTAGGATTGTTGTCCAGCTTTGCCCTGTCAAAAAAATATATAAATTGTTTGTATTCCCAATAAAATTTTTTAAAAACAACTTCAAAAGGGAAAAAGAACAGATATCTTCGCAAGATTGTAATTACAAACCTGTGTGCAAGCCCTCGTGTCCAAGCAAAGATTGATGCTATGCTGTTTGTGCTGGTTTCACCACCTTTCTGGTGAACTCGGTAATGCCGGGTAACTGTACCATGAGCTGCCTCTGCTTCAATTGTCTTCCCATCTGGGCACACCTGAAGTCCAACACATTTTCTAGTGAGTTATAAATGCACCTTCCCTCATTGCATTTGGTCAATGAGGATAACCACAAATGAATAAAAAGACAAAAAATAGACCAAAGACACTTTCAAAATAAGACATACCAGTACAGATGTCATCAACCCAAGCGATCCAAACCCTACAAATTGAATTTGGGAGTCAATACCAATCACAGCTTAAATTAAAACTAATGCAGCATCCAATGTTTATGCTGAGCCTTGTTATATGACAACAACTTAAGGTCAGTAGCAATTTGTTACACAAACCTTGGGCTAAGAAATCACTCTGGACATCACCATCATAATTCTTGCATGCCCACACATAACCTCCTTCACTCTTGAGAGCATAGGCCACCATATCATCAATGAGCCGGTGTTCATACCTTCAATTTAATTATGCAAATCAGTATTTAACTCAGAAGAACCAAAGCTACAAAAGAAAACCCCTCAGATACTCACCATATCCCAGCAGCCTCAAACTGTGATTTCCATTTAGCCTCATAAACTGCTTGAAATATGTCCTTAAATCTACATGGAACAGACAAATATGCTTAGCAGTGGCCCAATGAAAAAGCAGGAAAAAGAAAGTATTTATAAGGATTGTAATGATCATATCAATCAAGCAAGTTACATACCTTCCATCATACTTCTTAAGAATAGTGTTTTTTGTGCTAAGATAAAGTGGCCACTTCTTCTGATAAGCAGTGTTCATAGAAGCCTCAGCAAAGGCACGAATGGACTGCATCATCCAGTCAAATAGTAAAAAGAAAAAGAAATCAGTTATTCTAAGAATAAACAACTTTGACTTTAAACAAACCATCAAGAAATTTATAGATATAAACCTCATCTGTATTATACATGGCCTGTGCTACTCCTCCCTCACCAGTGAAGTTGAAAACCTCAAACTCTTGCTTCTCACCATCTCCTTCTGGCACTGAAAGCAATGGTAAATAATGAGATC